TCTTAGTATGATCTATTATTTTAATAATGGAGTATGACAATGTTCTCAACAACTTTTAAAGGTTTAAAATTTTACACCAAGGAATAAAACATTACCCCAACAATTGTTATAATTTGATTTCTTACATAGTGACGGTAAAATTTTGGATATAATTCAAACTACGCGTCCTTTCATAAACATGTATTAAAAATGTAAGCTGAAGTGGTGTTAACACCAAAATTTTCTATTGAACCGGACTTTAAGACTTTCCACAAAACCTGATAAAAAATTATGAGACCTAGATTTTACGGCTAGCCTCTGATAAGTACCGCTCTCGTAAAATGTAGGCTTAGACAATGACCGAATATTATTTTAGGTTGCCTATAAAGTTCTCCTACACTAATAAAAACTAAAAATGAAATTATCGTAAAATATGTATCTTTTTACCATCCGCCAGTGTTTTACGCATTGCGGTCTAAGGAAAAATATTTTAAGTCCTATTTGTAGTCACTTTGAGAAAAACGTGCTAATAATGACAAAAAAATTATAAAATGTTTTACAAATTTGAATTGTAGACTTTTGAACGTAAGAAAGATTTTGGCCGACGCAAGCTAAGCTAGCAGCTTGCTGCTTAGATAAAGTTAATAAAAACATTATTTCAATTGGAGTCAACACTTTCCGTAGTTTTAAACGATAATCCAAACCATCTACTGAGTGCGTTACCGCGAATAAATGTAGCTGTACTAGAAAAAAATATTTATTATAAAGATTTTGTTCGAGACGGTATCTAATATTTGAAATCGGTTGTCAGATTTCCAGAATTCCTTCACTGATACAAAGGTACATACAATGTTATATAACATAATTCTATGACTATAAGGAGCCGGACAGCATGTAAAGCTGCACGGTAGTAGCTAGTAAATAAATAAAATAAATAAATATATAGGGATATACACTTATCTTTGAAACAAACAAGAAATATTTACGTAACATAAATACAATGTTTCTGTAACTGTTCCATGAAAGAGTGTATCTAGAAAAAGTTTTACGAAGAAAAAAGTCTGGAAGAAGGAAAATACACGTCACATTATTGATATCAATATTTCTACGAGAAAATTGACGTTTATGTCACAGATGTGTACTTTCCGATAGACGAATTCGTTTACCTTGGTACATACCTACAATTATTTTTATATGAATGCTATATAGTATTCAGTCTGCCTTATGTTCTAAATACTATTATGATAAAGATACAGTTTTTCTAATTTGTAATTTGTAAGTTTGCTTAACTGAAACTGTAGGTAGTTAATAAATTCGAAAAATTATTAAAGGCCTTGTGAAGAATGAAATCAATCTTCAGGAAATTGGTGAAAATTATAAGAGATTACGACAATGAAACTGATTAAAAATAAACACAAAGTTGATAGAAATAAGGTTTCAATTTGTGTAAGTAAACATTATCCGTATGCTGAGTATTACCGTACCGTACATCCCGAATCCATCTATGACCCAGTTCACAGTAAAGGGTCTTTGGATGGAGTAATACATTATGTAACTACTGCTTTTAGTTAGTTTATGGGCTGTTAAGCGCTTTACAAGTGTCTACATTATCTTTAATATTATAATATTATAAAATGTAAAAAAATCAATTAGTTCACAAAATGTAGCAATTTCAAATAAATGGTCTCGTGCCTTGTTTACACGGCATAGCAGACGATATTACATTTTGTCTATTGCCCTTACTGTTTCTGCGGGTGGCGCAAGAACTAATAAACATGAAACTTTACTTTTAACTTCGATTTTCAAACTTCTTTCAAAATTGGAGGTTGTGGCCACCCCACATGTGCTGAAGAAGACTAGCTATAGTGTCATCATCTTCTGATAAGCGAATACCTCTTTCTTTTTTATGCAATGTGATGTAAATTTAGTAATTTAATATTATTTTATAAGCTAGTAATACCCCTCTTTGCAACGCCTGAAAAAGGCAATTAAGCTGTGCCTGTTATTTTAATTTAAGATCCTTGTACCCACCTTAACATTCAAATAAAGAATTTGAATTTTTTTTGAAATACCTTCCCACTTTTTTTCGATTTTTTATTATAACTAAGCAAAAATATCTTGAGGTAATCATTAATATGTTTTGTTTGGAATGTTTTGGATTTAAGTATTTTTTATGTTTTCGTTAGATGATTAGGAAAAGATAAATCTGGAATAGGACGCCAGATAGCTGGATCAGTTTAGAACTAAAAGATAAGAAACTTTTCGAACTATTACTGATCTGTGCGGACATTCGTTGGTAGATTAAAAAAGTTTTTAAAAGACTCGCGTCGTTGGACGGTCGATTCTGTTCCTCTCCAAAAGTGGTTTGACAAATTTAATCACGAAGTCACTACGAAAATACCTGCTTGTATTCCATGATTGTTTATTGAAATGATATTTTGGTAATTTTGTAAGCAGCTAGTAGCTGTTTACAATTTAAAATATTGGATGTCGATGAAAGAAACATTTAATGCTTTTTTGTTTAATGAAAACGTTACAGGCATTTAAGTGTGATTCTCTTAATGTTTAATTTTTTTATGGCATAGGTTGGAAAACAAGCAGAGAGTTTACCTGATTGTAAACAGTCGACACCGCATATGGACACTCATTGAAGGAGTTAGGTAGTAGTTGAAGGAGGTAGGACTACAAATGCGTTGCCGGCCGCTAGGGATTCATGTATTAGGGATTTGAGGATTGAAGATAGGGGGAGAATTGGGCCTCCGGCATCCTCACTGACACAACGTAAGTGTTGCTTCACCCTGGTATTCTGTGAGGCTGTGGTATCACTCCGGTCGAGCCGACCTATTCGAGCCTAAGCATGGCTCTACTACAAGAAAATATTTACATTTTATCTTTTAATATGCTTAAATTTTCAACCGTGGTAATTAGGCGCGCGAACGCCGGCGCTCGTTTGGAGTTTGAATTAAAACCCAATAACAAAAAGTAAATGACCTGTAAAGATCCGCCATTACGTATTAAAATAATAAATAATTTATAATAGACAGTTATAACTCGATAACGGACAAGTCAATTTTCGGTTCGGTCGGATTCGGCAAGTTTATCAATTAGGTTATTTTTTTGTTCTTGATTTATTGTTACTCATTGCCGAAACTCGTATTTTGATTGTACAGGAAAAAATAGTTTACAATAATAGTTCTAGATTTACACCGGAATCTATTATAAACGGTAATTTTTGATGCGTGACGGGTTTTTTGTTACCGGTCGGTATCAGTGTGATTTATCCGTTATCGTTATTTATATTTAATTAAGAAATTATTAAACGGTTATTGCATAGATTTTGTGTGCACATAGGAAGGAAGTTTATACATATAACAAATGTAACATTCGGTTATTGTATTTCGTTTTGCGTTTTGTAATATAGTGATTTACTACCAATTACCAAAACGTTCTACTTATTACTTTTTTCTTATTCATCCAATTTTAAAAAGTACTAGCGGTCATCCGCAGCTCCGATCGAGTGGATGTCGAATTTACACTTTTTCACGATTTTTTTCTCAATTCAATTATTTTTGGAAATCCAGAAAAGATTCGTACGTAACGAATCTTTTCTGGATTTCCAAAAATAATTCAAGATCAAAATTAGTCAAATCGGTAAAGGCATTGTTGAGTTTTATAATGTATATTGATATAAAAAACAGGTGATTGTGTCAAAATTAAAAAAAAAACACAATTAAAGCTGCATTGGCTAAGTAGAAATTAAATTATACGAGGATTGTCATCCTCATATTATTTAGTAGATTTTTCAAGACTAGGGCTTAGGCTTACACTTAAGTTAAGCAAGGATTGCCGAAGCTGGTTTATAGACGACATATCCTCAGGCCTCATTTGTGTCTAAAATCTGCTTATAAGCTAATAGATATGACATCCAAAACGCTAACAAGACTAACTTTCGGTCGATTGAATAATAGCTTTTAGCTTAATATACACAGATGCTACAATGATTTCATACAATAACATTCAGTAATAGCGGAGTCTGTAAATAACAGTAGATTAAAATAAAATTATAAATTTTAACAGATTTATAAAAAATCTAACTAAATACGGCGTGCTATACTAATAATAATGTAATTGTAGATCAGCCTAGTTCAAGAAAAATGAGTATGTTAAATTAGGTCGATAAAAAATTCAGAAAACTATTCTGTGACATAATTGTATGTTGTGTTTTTTTAAGTTAAATTAAAATTTTATTAAATTATGACAATAACAATGATAAAGAATTTTCTAAGGGAGTTTATCTGTGCAACAAAGTTAGATTTTCTTTTGAAGCCATCTTACATTCAAAGTTCAAAGAGGTTACACTCTAAATAAAAAAAACAACATTGGGTTTCTAGCAAAATAATAATATAAAAAAGAAAGCTGTCAGATTGAAATAATCATTAATAAAAGTTGTTGAACACGTCAGAATAATTCATTCAATTTAAATAATATAAACTTTGAGCATGACTGTACATTTAAGTTTAATCTCTTGAAGCATCGACGTGTTAACAAGATTTTATTATAGTATTTCATAAAAATGAAAATCAAAACATATTTGAATTGTAAGTGGAGATTTCGTATTAAACAGAAATGTTGAATGAATAAAGAATGATGACTACGACACATAAAATTTTGTTCGCTTGTTAATGACCACACACATGTAAAGGCACCAAGGTCGCCATTTTATGAAATGGGACCCCATGTAACTCAACCATTTCCCGTAAAATACCTACAATATAGCAGGGAATAAAATATAGACGATGTCTAGTCGTAGACGTAGCCCTATAGGGCTGATGTTCAGCCGGAGTTGCAGGGTACGCGCAATGAGGCACCGCGACCTCGGCCCAGAGCAGGAGAAGGAACGGGGAGTTTTTAGTCAGTAAGAGTCTGGCACTCTCTCTCGCCTTACCCTGGGCGGCAAAAGACATTAGATGATTTCCCCCTGACAAAAAAGGGGGTGCAAGTACTGATCTTGACATCTTGTAATGGCTTATCTCGCCCACGGTGAGTAGAGAGCGACTGTCAAACTTTTACCGACAAAAAAATACTTCATTCCTTTTCTTGCTCTAGGCCAAAGCTGTGGTACCTTCTCGCATTTGATCCGGATCCATGGCTGAAACCAATGATACGGGGTAGTTTTTAGTCAGTAAGGGTCTAACACTCCTTACCCCACCCAGGGCTGAAGGAAGGGTGAACATTGAACAGTTTTGTTTTTTTATATTATTTGATTATGTACTTACTTAATATTATAATTAAGTAAGACGAGTACTTATCCGTTAACCGAACTTTTACAAAATCAGCTTTAATTCTGCCGAACAAAATTTTTGTAACGTGTCAATGAAACATCAAATAGCAATACTTAAGTATATTGTATTTTTAACACTTTCAAAACTGCTAAGTATCAATATTTGTTTTTCGGGCAAAAACGATGACTTTATCGAAAATCATAAGGCTCATAAGAATACAATGAAGAAATTCATGAATAAAAAAAGTATTATACAGTTAATAGTGTTTCATTTGGGAGGAACATTCCAAGTCAATTAACCAATAGGTCAGTTTTATACTTTAGTACCTATGTATGTACGTGTGTATGTGTATGTATTTTATCGCCTCGCGTGTTAAACACCAGTCATTTTCTTTCTTTAATAATTGAGGTTAAACGTAAAAGTCATTAATCAGGCTAATCTTTATATTGAACTCGTTTGAATTTTATGAATGGGAATAACTAATCAACGCCAAAGGTTAGGTTTGTTGGAGACAATAAAAAGTAAATGAGGTTTTTGTTGTTTTTTGTGACAAATTGTTATTGGTCGTATTCCATTTTCAAGTATAAAGGGGACAAATAAAACGGGTTCTTGAAAATATACTTTGATTATACACATAATATGTCAATAAAGTTATCTACAAAAAATACGACACTACACAATGTCTGTAAACTAAACTCTGTTTACAATATTTCTCTTTACTTACAAGAATGTTTGAGAAAAATGTCTCAGTGTCAAGCAAAAATCATCCATTTGAAGAATTTGCAAATCATTCACACGTCGCTATAGGAACGCCGTACCCTTACTTCCTGGGAAAACTTCGATCCCATAACTTTCCCCGTACACGACGAAACGTGACCATTACGCGCAGTCGAGCTTAGTACAGCCCTTTGGAGAAGTCAGGCCAAGGCCGGAATTAGAGTACCAACTGCACTGAATGTAGGCAACGGTAATTATCCCATACCCATCTTTTTGTTTACAACATTCCTACTGATTCACCCTAAAGTTGAAAATTAAACTTTTTATTATAATTTACAAGGTCTAGTTCTAATTAGCTGTTTCAATAAACAATCAAAATATTTTGGGAAATATATGTACAAACACGGTTTCAGAAGGGTTTCACTTTATGCTAGATGGCGCTACATAAGTTTAAAAGTCTGGTAAGACCAAACACTTATGTCTATATTAGGAAAGTGTTGTATTTTGCAGGTTCATAGAATCGAAGTTATACAAGTATTACATGTTGACTGGTAGAGAATGCCATATAGCATTAAGTCCGCCTATTGTACCAACTTCATTTCATTGTGTACAAGCATAAATAAATAAATACCTAAATTATAATAACTAGCGCCTAGCAAAAATATCATAACAGCATGTTGCATAAATAATATAAAATATTATTTTGAGTAAAGGCATCATATTGCATCTGTTTGTCGGGAAGCCATTTCTGGAAGAATCTTATCAAGATAATAAGGTAGATGGAATCTTGAAATATACTTTCAAAATACATTTATTTGTCCCGCTATACGACTGTTTATTTTCAACATTTTAATGTGGTGTTGTCTGTAAAATAACATTGCAATGTTTATCATTGATATTAAGCAGTTGATTCGAAGAAAATCTATTTCAATGCTGTATATTGTAAAGTTAATTGACCTGGGCAATAAATGCCAGAATGTTCTCTAAAAAAAAAAAATTTGTTTGGAAGAGTTGTTTCGGCAATTTATAAATTGATATTACTAAATGTAACAGCTTAGTAGAACAGGTATAATATGTATTTGTTTTTGTTTAAAAACAAGTATTAAAGAGTTTATCACTATCAAAAAGACATTCGAAGTGGCCCAATTTGAGTAGTTAACAGTGACGTTGCGACTAGAGATATAATAAGTGTTTTCTTTTTGTCGCGAGAAAACATGACGTCGTGCATTTTATCAATTGTAATGTTTTTATTTTTTGGAACGAAATGTAACAAAGTAATAAAGGGGATAGGGAAGACACTTTCATCGAATCAAAATATGAGAGATCAGAAAATACACCACCGACCGCCGATCAATAAAAAAGCTAATTTAAATTTTTGCTTCCTATCCAAGATAGGAATGATCGTTACAAAATCACCATCACGTCCAATAATAATGATTTTAGGTCCTCGATATTCGTAAGGGCTCTCCGCATTTAAATGCTTCTTTGCGTCTGCCTCATTTAGTGGAAATCGATTCGGGATTGAAATCCACAGATATCGATGAATCGATACATAAAAAAACAGCATTGAAACGAAATTCTTCCGGTACGCAAATGAGATAGACTTTAATTTGGTTTAAAAGTTTTTGGTATTAGATTTACGAACCACATGCTTTTGCATTTGATTAGGTTTGTACCATTCTCTCTTGTTGACACACGACTTATTTTTGACGAGAGAAAATCAACAAATTACTTCTTCCATCTTGGGTGGGCGAGATGAAGTGTGTACCTTTGCTGACTAATCTGGCTGCACATCAGCTCTATTAGACAAATAGGGTCCATTCTCTGGTGGTCTCTCATTTTTCTGATTTCTTGTATAATGTTTTGTAAAAACTTCAATGCCCTTATCCAACGTTCACCAACAACAGTTAAACGATATTATTATAAATATTTTTCTTTGTTCTTTACAGATATAATGGCGGCAGTGACAATTTTATTGGCGCTGGCGTTGTGCTGTGCTGCAGAGGGCATTCACCTCAATTTCCGACCGACAACATCGCAATTGTTCTTGCAAACCACACCAAGTCTACAAATCACTGGACCAGGAGCCTCCTTCGCGAGAGTTGTAGCATTTGCCCCCCAAACTGAAAGACGACGTGTTACAGGATTCGGGTGAGAATTTCTTAAAAGACAGATATCCCAAAACGATGTTAGCAATAAATATGAAGTAGATTTATGTTTAGCAGCTCGAGTATTAGTTTTAGAGGTACATGAGAAAGCGAAGCTGTTACCCAGTTTCAGAAGGATTAATTTATAAGGTTATTTATTAAAAAATCAATTGAATTGCCTAGAGATAGATCCTTTAGAAACTGGGGAACAATGAGTAAGCTTATGTTTAAATTGCTGTATCGGATAAGAGATGGCAAAAGGCGTATTTAAAAGATGTTCAGCTTTTAAATTTTAGAAAGATAGAATTTATTTAAAGTAAAGGGAACTGAGAAAAGCTCTACTAGTTTCAAGACACAACGAGAGTTTTATTCAAGAGCAGCGTGTGTAACTCGCTTTACATTTGAATACAAGAATCATTTGTTTCATTTCCTACTGGGACTAACTTCTGGAACAGTTAAGAGATATTAATATCGTAAAAATTCCGTTGACCCCTAATTTTTTAATAAATAAATTTTAAATTTTCTATGATTACGCAACTTTTTTTTTACATTAATTTAGTGGAGTTTCATACTTTTAATATACATCGCATAAAACCATATCTATAAGTTATAAGGTGAGGTTAAGAATGATTTGGTTGACTAAAACGTTGCTAAAAATGCATTGTAAAATTTAAATAAAGTATGCACAGAGAAAAAAAAAACTTTTCTAAAAAATTCACGGGAACCAGCAATTTGAACATTTGCTACATGATTTTGAATGTTATTTATCTTTGCGCTAAACAGGCTTTGCATAGAAAAATGCTATGTAAACTATATGAAGCTTTAAACTAAACCTGCACGAAATGTGTTAAATTATTTCTCTGCAAATTGTAATTGAAATTCTATATTCTAAACTATGAAAATACTAAGCATGAGCTTATAAATTTCATTTTATAATATTTAGCGGTATTCCTACATTGAAACATTGCTGTATTTTATGAAACTATTCAGTGGGTAAACATAGAGTTATAAAATGAACTGTTTACACACAACAATAATTGTTGACTTGCTACTTTTTAAAATTTAATTACGACCTTAAAATATTTGATCTTCTCACAACTTATGACTACATAGTTGACGTTATAGCAACTAGCTGTCGTTCAACGTGTCGTGGGTTTCACTCCCTCACGGAATAATTTTTCGAGCGCGATGTATTCTTGTAAGTTTGTAAATGAACCCACGACATAGAATTGAAATATGGAGTGAAACAAAAAAAAACCCTGAAATTTTCTCTGTAGTCTAATGCTAGGAATGGATTTTCTATTGTTTATATTAATAAAAAACTCAACATCCCACTTCATGGGTAATATACAAGTCTATAGCGAAATCACATAGGCATAGTCAATGTATATAATGTACCTACATAGTAAATAAAAATAATGACTACCCTTAATTTATTCTTGAAAAACCTAAATGATACTTTTACCGGCTCAGTACATAGCAGTTGTAAATAATACCTATACTCTCTTCCCTTTTATTGTAAACGGACTACTGAACAATTTAGTCCGATTTTTGTATAGACAACAGGTTATCAAGTTATACCAAATTGTCATTTATGTTTTTAATAATATTAAATGTTGATTCTCGATGTTGACTAGTCGAGGGTCGTTAGAGTGACTACTTCTGAAGAAGCAGTTTAAAACGTCCACTCGCACGCTGTTATTGGAATTTGAGCCGTAACATTACTCACTAATACGGCTCATAGTTTACATTACACTCAATATATCGAGAGAAAATACACCTATTTGCAGAAATAAGATTTCAAATAAAAAATATTTTAAATTATTTAGCAATTTGGATAGCTTACCTACTCTTGGTGTCTATACAAAATCTGTCTCTTGTATTATTATGTTTGCACTTGCACAGTAGGCTAAATATCTATGTGTTGCACCTTATAAAATACTTCCACTGGTTCTGTCTTACAGCCCGACTCCTGATGCAGCCTTCTTCGGACCAACTCCAAGGTTAATTGTTGTCTATGTTTTTGATTAACTTAACTAATTACTAACAATGTGTGATGCTTCGAACTAATCAAATGTTGAACTAACTATTAACTTGAATGCAGTTTTGATTTTGTATTTCAATAAGAAGCTTATTATATAGATACCTTTATTTTTTTTTATTTTGTTGGTCTTTTGTGGTTCGGGTTCGATACCCGTGTGAAAAATGTTAAAATGTGATGTTTTGATAGTATTCTTTTTACCCGACTGCCAAAGAAGGAGGGTAATGTTTTTCGAGTGTATGTAAGTATGTATGTATGTCTTTTCCTTTGTGACCTCCTGTAGCCTAAACGGCTTGATGGATTTTGATGTATGAGGTATCGTTAGATTTGTCTTGATTACGGGAGTGTCATAGGATACATTTTATCCTAAAAGTCCCACGGGATAAGGACATAATAATATTTTTTCTAAATTTCCCTTTAAAAAAATATGTATGCGGTATCATTAGATTCATTTCAATCACGGGAGTAATTAATATAGGATACGTTTTTTCTCAAAATTCCCACGGGAAAAAGTTATAAATAAAAAAAATATTATTAAAAAAACAAAATACCCGACTGCACACTAAAAAAAGAGTAAAACAAGCCCCACAATACAAATTTACTGAATATAATTTATAAATGTTGATGGAAAGCATCGCAGGCGGGGACCACCTTGACCGCCACCAACGAAAATTCTGCTAAATGGTGCACAACAGAAATGACTATAAATAAGCCTCTGTTGGTCCCCGCCTGCGATGCTTTCCATCAACATTTATAAATTATATTCAGTAAATTTGTATTGTGGGGCTTGTTTTACTCTTTTTTTAGTGTGCAGTCGGGTATTTTGTTTTTTTAATAATATTTTTTTTATTTCTATAAGAAAAAGTGACTATCGTAAGTATACCTTCAAAGTTTTTCGTGTGTCTGTCTGTACGTGTGATTTTTGTGTCTGTTTGTCCGTAATGTGTGATTTTGTCTTTTATATATGATTAGTGTAATCGTTTTTTTAGGGGAGACATGTATAAGAGTGTCAGACACTTACTGACTACAACCGCCCATTTTTTCTCCTGCCCCGGGCCAAGGCCGCGTATATTACTGCGTCAGAAATGTAGTTGGGAAAAAAAATATTTTACTTGAAATACGGTAAAAAAGAGGTTTTGTATGTAGCTTGGAGTTTTCTAAAGATAATGTCATTGACTCACACATATAAAAAGACAATATGTAAAATAGTAAAAAGATACGATGGGTAAATGATATAATAAAAATTTAAAATTATTTTACCTTAAAAATACTAGTAAATTTTGATTTAAAACTAATAAATAACTGATTTGCGAATAGTTTTTGTAGTGTTTAAAGAGCTAAATACACATTTCATAATAGTAATATACATTTTCTGTGGTGCAAAATTTATGAATAAAAAAAAGCTACACGAAAACCTCAATGTGGTCTTTATTATCAACAAATCCTAACACACATTTTTATACTTACCTATTTACATACTTCTAGTCGCTAAATCTCATAAAACTTTATACATCCCGTGATAAGACTAATATAATGATATAATAAAAACACCCCTTTTTAATGTCCTAATAAAAAAGGAATTGCTTTAAATGTGACAACCCTATGGTAGGGTTGCATCACACGCTATTAAAATAAGCTCCTAACATTCGCTGTTTGAAATATGGGCACAACATTCGCACTGTCGAAAGCATTCTAAATAAAATTTATAATGCTAATATTTTTTTCTTTATTTTTCTTTTTTGTTTTTTTATTATTTCTTTCTGTTGGAATATAATTCCTCTACATTCAGAATACTTTTTATTGATTATTAAGTTAACTTGCTCAGTACATGTAATTGAAATCATTAGAATACTTATCCAGTTTCCAATTTTTTATATGTATAGCATAGTTCATATTTAAAAGCATGTTTTTTTTGTTTATTTCATAAAAAAACACGTTGTACAAAATAGGTGTTGTTAGCGAACCGCTACGGCATCAAAGCGGTTGACATCTTTTTATCTACCACAGAATTTTTCAACAACACAAAAAAAAAACTTCGAAGTCTACTCAGCTTTTCTCGAGATTTAGCGATTTATATTACCATTAAAGATCGTTATAGCTGAAAAGTATTTGTAATGTTCTGTTTTTTGTACTGACTACTATTCATTAAATAGTATTTTCTTCTTTTCTTAAAGAGGAACGTTTTCTTATAAGACATCTGTTGTAGCCTATTCACATTTTCCTGGAACTGCAAATGTAAATATTCCAACACACGTTCCTATTCTATTCTTATTGTTATTGGCACAAAGACTATTGTAACGAAACTTTTTATTTATTTACTTGTAAATAGACATTGGTTTTGTATGGTTTTCTCACGTTTTTTTTAACTGCTGCAATAGTTTGGATTATGTACAATGGTTTACGCACTCTTTTCTATCAAATAAATATTTTTATTCTATTTTCAACTTTATATATTTAGCATAAAGTCGGAAATCCAATGAAAAATAAATAAACAGATTGAAAATGATTGATCAGCTTGCGACTATAACAGTGTACTACAAAAATAGTATAAAAAAACTAATACATTTTTCTCTACGCAGTTTCAGCAATCCACCTCCTCCTGCTGGCTCGGAACTGGACCTAGCTTCTCAAACCTGTGGACTTGCGCCTCCATTCTGCGCCAAGTCTCGTTACAGAAGTATTGATGGTACTTGCAATAACCTCCAAAGGCCAGATTGGGGTATTTCTAATGCGGCTTTTGGTCGGATAGCGCCTGCAGACTATGATGACGGTACGTACACAAACCTTAATACTTTTGTCACTTACTAGTTGCTCAAACATTTTCTTTCGCTGGTCTGCTCCTTTTGATTGTAATCTATTTATTTATCATTTTGCTATTAACTCACTATACGTATCGTAATTACTTATTCCGAACCAATATTATCACATAGTATAAAATAAACTGAAACTTAAATCTACGCAATGGAATTTGATACGGTCTATTTTAGTAGATAGAATGATTGAAGAGAAAGGTTAATGTGTACATTCACTAAATAGTAGAAAAAATTTGTATCAACATTGCACCCGTTTGTAGCCTTGTCGGATCTCTAGTATCATATACCAAATACACTTTTTAGTTTAAAACTGCATTTAGCATCTGTAGACTATCATTTAAACCTTCTTTTACTACTTAAATCAAGACTTTTTTGAACTACACTACTAGGATTTATAAACAATCCATAAGGATAGAGCTACGTCAATTCCATCCGTTCGTACAAGGCACCTTATCTCTCTATTAAAGAAATATATGATTATATAAACAAATATATTTTACTCATTTGACTGTTTGAGAACTAATTTATTTATGAGTACCTAGTAAAAATATTTTTTAAGGCGTGGACCTTTTTATGAAATAATGTAAGTTTTCAAGGAATGAAATAGGATGCCTTACATTAATTAGCGTTGTATGTAATCGATATCCAACCAATTTAATTATTAATAATTTCATTGGTTTCCGATTTGCTGAAAGCACAAAGATTTTTGTGGGAAAAATCTTATCTAACTATAGTTTTTTGAAGAGTCGAAAAGATGTATTGTTAAATTTCAATGTATTCCTAGATTTTATTCCCGAAAGGGGCAGACAGAGGTGGAACTTACAAGATATTACCCTCTTTTGTCCTGACCCCGGTTATGTATATGTATGATATATGATATACTCAACCTACAAATCAAACTTGGCTAAGCCATGATAATATAAATAACAATAATATTATATTTTTTACTGCACGGTTGGTGCGATGGCTGGGCAACTGGCTGCCGTGTAGGGCATCGAGAACCGGTCCTATTTCAGGAACCGGTTCTTTCGGTTCTAAATTTTAAACGGCGCCGGGTACCCGGTTCTTTCGGTTCTTTCGGGTTTTATCATAAATTCTATTTAAAAAGTCTCTCATTTTTATAAATTTTTTGAATTACACTCAAATTACAACATATTTTTACAACTATTTTGTAACTATTGTTATTTTATTATGTCAAAAAGTTGTCATGGAGCGTTTACATCAATGTCCCTTGTTAGTTTCTTAAAAATCTATCATTAATAATAAATTATAACGTTACTTATTGGTTTAACAGTGAAATAACAGCATATAGTCTGACTTAATAATAAATTTGGATAAATAAGAGTAGGAGTTGAAGGAGACTCGGGGGAAGGATGTATCTCAGTAAAGCGCTGGTAGGGGTCTTGACCGTACTTCCGGGATTGCTCTGATAGCTGTGGGATGCCTCTCCTTCCCCAAGCAGCTCAACGTATGTTGCCTCCGTGTCGCTACATGCTAGCGGCCGTTTCCGGGGGCCCATTTTATTGGGTTTGCCAGTTACCTCCCGTATATATCAATATTGGTACCAGGCCATAGCAACCCATACCCATAACCCTTTCAATTATTATTATCACATTTCGCAATAGTCCTAGATCAACCGGGGATTATCCTTGGGTGCACTTTCATAGTGCATACAGGGATAATTGCCGGCTGATGTCCCATTTCACTTATATTAAAGTTGTTCAACGGGCCTCTGCGAGTTGGCTTCGACGTCTCGTACGCCTTCTAAAGGTCCGTGATCCTGTGATCCCGTGAACGGAAACGAAAATTTGGATAATAACTTGATATTTAGCATTAAAAGTATTATAGAGATATTATTTTTAAATTTTTAAGACAGAACCGTAAGAACCGAAAAAACCGGTTCCTTGTTTTACAGAACCGGTTCTATCAGTGTCTTCCAGAACCGGGATTTCCCGGTTCTTTCGGAACCGGGAAAAACCGGTTCCTATGCCCTACTGCCGTGAAACATGTCGCGGTTTCAGTTCCTGTACGTAACAACTCTTTGTATGATCAATCATGATCGATCATGTGTATGTGAAATTCTATGTTTGTCCCATGACCTATGACATAAGAGAAAATCCCAGTGTGGAGCAACTTTTTTTTTTTATATAAACATTCAGATATTAATTTTAGGACATTTCCAAAATATATCAATATGTTTACCAAACTAATGATAATTTACGAATGTGTTAAATGTCATCGGGTCGGTGCTCAGCTCATGGAAATTCCCTAAATCGCTCACGTCCCATACATTTACATAATATCTAATACGTCACTGAGAAAATTGCATTTGTCCCTTTAATTTACAGATTTGATCTAATTATAAACATAAGCTTTTATTGCTTCTAGAGACCTTTTTTATCTATTTTGATAAAGTAATTTAATATTGTCATAAAAAGTTTTTTTAATCGCCAATTGTTTTTTGGTCTCATCTTGGAGCAAACATGGGTATGAATTGCCGCTCTGTTTTTGTATCTAAGAAAAAAAAAACAAAACAGCGATAACAACGCGATGAAGACCTATAAATCTGGGTCTCTTTAAATTACAACTTTCTAAGAATTGTATTGTATTGATCTAAAACATTTTAATAAGCTCTGTTACAATTATTAATTGAAAAATAACTTACTGTATAATATCGATATTATGTAAGAAAACAATAACGGCATTGATTAAAATCGAGATAACGTTGAAGGTTATTAATATTCAATACACAATGAAACAAATAATTACAAGCAGTGATAATTTGTGTAGATATGTATACAATACATTCGAATTCATATAAATCGTTATTTGAATACTTACTATTTATGCATATCTACATTAATATATCTATATTTATGTCAGTGGCATTGGAGGTTGTTTGTAAACTCACATAGCATATACATGCTAAATAGCTTTACAGATTAATATCTCAAATTATGGGAGGAAGTTTGTGCGTAGTGCGTTCGCTACGCGCGTAGTACGTGCGCTACGAGCGTAGTGCACACACTCAAAACTTAGTAAATGTCATACGCACTGCGAATTATTCATATTCAATATACGACGTTTTGACGTATCAAAAGTACCTATTTATGGTTTAGTTGGAATAAATGATTTTGACTTTATTATGCCAAACAATTACTGTGTGTATCTTTTTCTATTTTTCTTAATAAAGATAGTTGTTTGTTCAGATAGTAGCTACATAATTCTGACTTCTAACTTGTCACGATTTATCTCTGATTTAGATTCTGTCCTGGTTCAAGTATAAGTAACACAGTTTATTCCAAACACTGAGTCTAGTAGCTGGAAACAAATGTTTATTATGTCTAGTTCATTTCCAATAAGATAACTTTCTTATATTTACTATTTATATTCAGTCAATGGAAATTGTCGCCATTTTCCTTGAGACTGCGACGTTTTGATAAATGATTGTGACGCTCAGCAATTAATGTTTTGTGCATATATCTATACATAAAGATAATATGTTAATTTAGGCCTAATGGCGGAGGATACGAACAGGGTGAAGGGATGGGATTTATGGGGGTAAAATATTCCCATAAGGTAGCGAGCGGTGTTCTATATTCGTGTGAGAGAGATTCGAGAAATATTCCTAATTTCATACCGGATGTAATTGATTTAGGTTAATGTTATCGTATCTTTGCCAATATCGAATATATTAGTTCTCGATTGACTTGTTCTATGGTAAAATTTTCTTAGCTTAGAAATGATTTATTGTGTTTGGACGGAAGAGAAAAATATTCCATTTAGGTCTCGAAAGTTTGATATTTATTGGAATTGTTTTGTTTTTGTTTTCAGGTGTAAGTGCTATAAAGACCCTTTCGAAGACGGGCCGACCTCTGCCGAATGCTCGTGAACTTAGTCTACGGCTGTTCCCCGACCTGCATGTCATTGACCCCGTATGGACCCTAAACACCCAACAATGGGGACAAATTGTGACCCACGACATGTCACTAGCTGCTGGCGAAATACAAGCTCGTAAGTTCTCAGTTTCCTAAGTTGTTGTTATGAAACAAGACCGAACTATTACTTCCTTCCTACATAGTTGTACAATGAACACAACTTTTGGTGTTTAGACTGGATATTATTGCCATTATTTTAATTTTGCTGATCAAAAGTTTTCTCACAATTTAATATGTTAGAGGATGACTGAACGTTGGTTAAGATGTTTCGTTGATTGTACATTTTATCAGTCAAATAACTAGTAGCATTAAACTTTCATTTATTTCTTTGGACTTATTTTTTTGTGACAAAAGTAGTAAGTACTCACAAAATTAACTTTTGAAGACGTTTGAAGACGTTGTTCTACGTACATGTTAGACAAATTGATATAAGTAACTTTTTACAACACCTATTTTTTATACGATTTGTGAGGCGATGTTAAGTTTGTTTTTAATTTGTGTTATTAAATTTTATGTTTTATTCCCTACAGCGGATTTCAATCCACCGAGTAAGTTTGTATGTGAATGCGTAACTAAAACCATTGTTGTATTACATAATCGCTATATAACGTTTATGTGTAGGTATCATTAACCTCTCACGTCACATATGTGTGTCAAATATCTTCACTTAACATGTGTTTGTAAAATAATCTAAAGTTAGACCTTCTTATATGTAGAAGAGTATAATAACAAACGAAGTAGATACTTCTTAATCTTCTCTCTTCTCGTATCTGCTTTTTTCTAGCTTTGTATTAGTTAGTGTGAGTAATTGTACTTAATCATTCCATTTTTGTAATTAACTATATATTCTCTTCTATTTCATTAAATACTCATAAAATACTATTTTTTAAGATACAATGTTGAAATAAATTTTTAGTAGACTTAAGGCTGATTTTTCGATAGTTAGATAAAAGTTACCTGGGGAATAATTATGATGCTGTCGCGTCAGTATGTTTGTATAAGACAGTGACAGCAAGGATTTTATTCTTCAAATGACATTTATCTGGCTATAAAAAAATCAGTCCTAAGATAAGAAAGCTGTCACTTGAAAAAACGGTTTCTAAACATTCAAACAAAAAAACTAAGCTATAGGCATTCCGATGAATTATGCAAATATTGCTTTGATTATAAGTGTCATATTTGTATCACTTAAAACGTTTCCTTTACTATGACGACTCTACTCATAAAAGTAGTTGTTGACAACGATCGTGGCTACAAAATAGAACCTTATCGATAGTACACAGAATTGCGGATCAGCAATTTCCTTAAAGGAAAATCTTTTCATATTTTAGACCATTTCCTCGTTCCGTGGCGTAGTTAATCGACGATATTTTTTTCCGTAAACACGCAATGGCGTTGATAGAAATATAATACAACATCAGTTTAGCATCGATAGTTATTTTGTATTTCACAGACTAGTAGACGACTTTGAAGTTTGAAAAGTGCTTGGATTTTATAAAAGAAAACAAATACCATAGACACAGTTAAAGTACAAGACCTTTTTTTTACTAGCCTGTATTGTCCCACTGCTGGGCAAAGGACTCCCCATCTCGCTTCCACACCTCCCGATCCTTCGACCGTGTCCGCCAGTCTCGACGATAGGCGTCTAGATCGTCACGCCATCTTTTCCGGGGCCTACCCCGCCTGCGGCTTCCATCTTGAGGTGTCCACTGGGTGACAATAGTGGCCCATCTCTCCGGACCTATATAAATCATCATCAGCCTATAAGTGCCCACTGCTGAGCAAAGGCCTCTTTTCATTAAGAGAAGGTTAGAGCATTAATCACCAAGCTTGCTCAATGCGGGTTGGCGATTTCAAACTTATAATTTGAAATTATAAGTCCAGGTTTCCTCACGATGTTTACCTTCACCGTATGTCAGTGGTGTTTAAATAATCATAGAAAGTACATATAACTCGGAAAAAGTCACATTGGTACTTGCCAGGTTTCGAACCCACACCCTCATGCATGAGAAGCGGCTGCTTCACCTCCGGGCCACTACGACACCTACTACCTATATAAATAACAAAACTTTTTTAAAGGCTTGTCTCACAATATATAAATACCCTTAATATGCCTGACACATTTGAATATGGAATTTCATTTGTGTGTACTGCGTGGCATATACGTTTATCGGGAGCTTATGTGAAGGTTGCGAAAGAGTCACTGAACGTTAAATGTGATAATACAACAACGCAATGTTTTATTTTAATAGTGTATTCTGTATTAATATATACCTAATAATTTAATAGCTTTTCAGTCAGTAGTTTAAATTATTTTTTTATTAGTTCTGCCTCATTATTTCTCTCACTTCTAGTAGGCAAACAAAGGCGTGGTAAAAATCTTTTTCAATCTCCTTAGCTTGTTCAAGCTCCTTATCTTTTGTATGGTCAACTACACGAGAAAGGTTACAATTTGAATAAATAAAAAAACTTAGAATCCATTAGTTACAATGTTTAACAGAACAAAATGTTTATCCAACATTTAATACAAAATACCTTTTTACAAGAATAATTCAATTAAATTCATCAAACACAAGCAAACGCCGTTCGCGCACCTATTGTTCTTCAATTGTGTCTTGAATTACCACGATTCAAAGGTTAATAAAAATAAATAGTCAAAAAGTAACGAACGGACTACGTGGAGTTGACCAGAATAAATTGAACCTTTTTAAAAATAAAATCTCTTTCTACCAGATAAGGAATTGACGAACTGCTGCGATGACAACGGGAGACTGACTGATACTGCGCAATCGAATCCATCTTGTGCACCTATACTGATACCTCGTAATGACCCTGTGCATGCACCACAAGGAACTCAGTGTATGAACTTTGTAAGGACGGGAACGACTAGAGACAGAGGATGCACTCCACCTAACGTCCCTGCTCAACAGGTAAGGAACTATTAGTACATGTTTATTTAAAAAAAACTATGGAAAACGTCACTATAACCTGACGATAAATGTTATTGGCTCGACTACGTTTTCTTTTGTTTTCTAAAAAAATACTTAGCACTTGAATTTTCGTATGAGTCGTGGGTTTTAAAACATACATTTTCATTGGCACGTCACACCCAGATACTGAATAATAATTTGAGCACTACTCAAAGAGTTGTGTATAGATTTTTTTGTTTCCCTGGTAGAATATTTTTCAAGGGTTATCCTGGGAAAGGGTTAACTTAGTCAATAAAAAAAAATCAAAATACACGGGATGTAAATATTTGTAATCAGAAAATAAACGATATTTTGGTGGTAAGTAAATGTCAAAAAGGAGGTTTCAAGAGGTTTCTGTTTGAACTTTAAAAAATTTAAAACCAAAAAATATAGGCAGCTTGAGCAAGAAAATAATAACTTAACGAAGTATATTTTTGTGCATAAAAAAGTTTAGAAATATATTTCTCTTTCAGTCTTATACTTAAAAATAACTTTGTATACTCTCCTGACTCAATATTTCGTCTAAAAAGCAATCATATTTATTACCTAAATCATTGCGAAAATGTCTCCAGATATGCATACGATCTCATTTTTAGTTTTCTGATAACAGGCGTAGCATTTCTCTGCCACAATTTAAGTCATAAAGATAGCAAACTAAAAACTTTCATCCAATAGCCATTATGCAATTTTAAAGAAAAAAAAAACTATTTTTAAAAGTTTGGAGAAATGAGCAGGTAGGTCAAAAGGTTGACCTGAAATTTGTGTTCAAAAGTTTGAAAGTTCCACACGTAAATCTCATTTTTTATTACAAAGATATTATGAACATATTTTTGATTTTTTTCTATATTAAAGTCATCACCAACCTATATATATATGCTGGCATATACGCTTTTATATTTAGATGTTTTAGCCCACAAAATACACTTATTTAAGTCAAAACAATATCAATAATAAAATGGTAATATGTTTTGCTCATTTCCTCATTATTTTAAGCCTTACTCTTTTCTAATAAAGTTCTATTTTGCCACCAGCTAACAGCGGTCACAGCCTTTATGGATCTCTCTTTGGTCTACGGTAGCAGTCAGACTCAGGCCGATCCAATCCGAGCCCGTCAAGGAGGTCGTCTTTTGACCATTGTCAGAGGAGGCCGGGAATGGCCGCCACAGGAACCTAACACGACCGTCATCTGTGAAACTGCGCAGTCACCTAATGAACCCTGTTATTTGACCGGTAAGATAACACTTTTGTATTCAATCCTATAACATCTTCCAGATACGTATTTAGAAGGTGGTATGGTTCACATTAAGTAATATCAAAGTACCAAAAGAGAAAAACGTTATATTTTCTATAGCTTAACTCCACACATATCGCCAAAATGAATTTTGGTACGGTCATAACTTAGTCCTTACCCTACAGTTTTTTTAACCAAAATTCATCAAATTTTATGAGCCAAGGTCTAACATCACTGCGAAGTTTTTAAGAAAATTTGGGCAGTGGTTGTCGCGTTATATTAGCACATATTTAAATATCACCCAACTATCAGAAGAATGACAAATCACCTAAAATAGCAGACTTCAGAATCAGGACAAGGTTAGCTCTTGCTTACGTAACCATAAGCCTTTTGAATACTGATGGAAGATCCATTTGATCTTTACTTATAACTCCCTTGAGGGCAATTACAGCGTCGAGTGCCCCTGTAGAGGTTGGTCCAATTAAAGTTGGCCTCCATAAATATACCACAGAAGTTTGCACTCTTGAGAAGTAAATTATATTTACAAGTTTTCTTGAAGTAAGACGATAAATATAAACATTGCTATTGATTGTCCTGTGTTACGACAAGTTTTTTTTATTTAAGTTTATTATTAGTATTTCAGCACGTTATGTCAAAAGTTGATTGCGTGGTTGATGCAGTGGCTAAGTGAGATTATGCTGTAGAATGTAAAACTGCTAATGGTTTCTTGAAACTAAATTTACAATTAGTAGTGTGGAGTTTGAGAACTCAGTAGCGTTTAGCCCTCGGGCTAAAGAACAAAACAGACCTCTCCATTCTGCAATCGTATCAGATCGATCGATCGGCGATTGGGCACTATAACGAATCTAGGGCTAGTAAGAATTAGTATAATTTTATAAATTATCCATTCACTATTCTTAACAGGTGACATTCGTGTGAATCAAAACCCTCAGCTGACGACACTCCAAGTGATACTCATGAGGGAACACAACCGTATTGCTGATACTCTAGCTCAACTCAACCCTCACTGGAATGACGAGACTCTCTTCCAAGAAGCAAGACGTATCCACATAGCTGAGATACAACACATCAATTACTATGAATATCTTCCTATTTTGTTAGGTAAGTTAAATACATCAAGTTTTGGAAGTAAATATGTTACAATTATTTTTTCAAATTGAAGTTATTATGATAAAAACTTTTTTATTTTGATTGTATAGGCAGTTGATTGTAGTTATTTAGCTTTTTTATGTGATATACTGACAATCGAGCAGATGGATTTACCTGAGGGTATTGTAAAGTTTGAAAAGCGTTTCGATAATTTTGTTTCTTATTCTTAAAGAAACAAAAATTCTTTGTTTTATTATTATTTGAAAAGCCAAAAAATAAAAGGGAAACCACAATCTTAATATTTACCTACTTACTTTGCTTAAGTATGAGGAAAAAATTCCCTAATATTTGTTAGCATTTTTCAATTTTACTTTAGAAGTGAAGTTACGAAGAATCTTTCTGTACATTTTTTTCTGAGTAAGAAAGTTAGATTCTTACAAAGGCTTTATTAAAGTCATGTTACTTCATTTGTGTAAAAATTATACAGGTAGCTAATCAAATTTTTTACATTTTCTTTTGAATTAGGCCAGCTTTATCTACTTAGTTTGTGTCTTCTCTGTACGAATTTCATAGTATTATAACTATTTAATCTACTAGCGGCCTAACTAGCCCTCGGCTTTACACGCGTAAAAAAATAATGTATCTCAGGATTTTAAAACCAGCATCCCCTTATTACAAAACAAGATTTATGTTTAGTCTAGGTTTAAACTATCGAGTCAGGTTTTGTATTTTGAATCTTATTCTCACCTATCTTCATTTTGAAATACAACAACTGAGTCAATGGTTTAGATCTAGACTAAAGAAAAAAATTGTTTTGTAAAAAGACCGGAAGTGTTTAAAGCGAAACTTCGACTAGCATATGCAACAAATGTATAATTTATAGCCTATATATACTTCTTAGGAATATAGTTTCTGTAAATATTCTATCAGTGAAAGAAGTTTGAAAATCCGACCAGCGCAGCGGCTCCATAGATCGCCCCCTACATATAAACTAACAAATTTTACCTCTTTATACTATTAGTATAGATATGTGTAGCAAAAATATTTGAACCATGTGAATCTTTATTCAGGTTTTGAGAATATGGTGAAGAACAAGCTCATCTACCCTGGTGCTCACGGCTACGTGAACGATTACAACCCTGGAGTGGATCCTTCCATACTCAATGAACACGCCACAGCTGCCTTCCGTCACTTCCACAGCCTGATCAGAGGTCACTTAAAGTACGTAACTTATTGTTTAATTTTGTTTATTTTAACGCACATTTGATATATCACTATTATGGATGACTGTACCAACCATGGGACTACAATGTCCCGATCATTTAGGAGGCGTACGAGAGGCGTATGAAGTCAACTGCGCCTGGTCCTTAACTTAAGTAAAATGTGACACAATTATCCCTATCATTGTTTAGTATTATCATATTTATCTGGTTATTTTCGTTTGTTACTGTAGTCTTCTCCAGCAACATAGCAGTTAGATCGATATTTTCATATTCGTATCGTATCGATACACTGTCAGTTATCTATATATATATATATATATATCATATATATATCATATATATATATATATAGATATAGTCACTTAATCTAGCTGGATATTATACTACACACTGAACCTGAACACATCTTAAAAAACGTAATTATTCTAGATGTTTTCTCTACTTCAATTACGAACTGCTGTTGCCTATGTTAATAACTTTTATTTAATTGTCCAAAATGAGATTTTTCTTGTAATTTAAATAATAATTTCTTATTCTTTTGTTGTACTTAACACAATTTTATTAATTTTCTTATTATTATTTTTTATTTCTACAACAGTAATTGTGGTTATTATGTCTTGATTAGGGGCCAAAACTCACAATTCTAATTATGTTATCTATGTTTATGATGTTTTTATTAAATAGGCTGCAATGCAATCACGGTATACACTTATTGACTATCAATATTAATGAGATAGGAAATTGCAATGGCCGACCTGGTCACGTTCACTATAGCGGTTAAATAGACAATTATATTATGCTTTTTAGATAATTTCTATCATTAAGGTAAGTTTCAATTATGTCTGGCGTGTATTTTCGAAATTGTATTAATACTTTATAAGACAACTTCTAAGCGAGATGAAAAAGTTTCTTCAAAAATCCGTACTCCAAGTACAAAAGTAGACTCAAAAGAAAAAACTGTATAACAACCTCTTTTCGCAGATTAATCTCAGAAACCCGTCGCGCTATCGGAGCCGTGCGCATGAGTGACTGGTTTACCCGACCGCTACTGTTGGAACTCGACAATGCCTTCGATCACTTGGTTCGAGGACTTACAACTCAGGAGCAAGACTTCAGTGACCAGTCCTTCGATAGTGAAATTACTCAGTTCCTGTTTAAGTAAGTTATACGTACTTTGATTTTACGAGTTGATTGAAGTATTTTATATACCTATCATCCATGTTTCGCCTTCTGTGTAAATATTATTTTGCCACACGTGCTAACCGGGGAGTAGCACGTGTGGCAGGATCGATACGGCACGGAATAATTCTTTGTATGATCGACAAATAATTTTCCGGGTCTGGGTGTTACGTGTATGTAAAATTGTATGACACAGTAGAAAATCATATTGTAAGACATTAAAAAAATAGGTATAATTTTTACTAAATGCCAGTACGACTCAGGTTTTGTTTAGAACTACTGTACCCGGAGGAACAGTTATAGATTCATTGTTATTGCTAAGAATTTAGAAAACCGAATACTGCCAAAATATTCAAATGTAAATAAACAGTCGGATCGGTCTTATGTTAACAATTCGATACTTATTCTCTGTACTAGTAGAATAAAACAGTTGTGGACAACGTTGTGCATTGAAATATCAATAATCAATATTAGTTGAGTAATGGTAATTGTGTATTGTAATACACAATTACCATTACTCAACTAATAATTGACTATTTCTGTAACTAGACTTTATGAATAATTATTCAAAATTATGGTACTGCAATCAGAAAAGAAGGGTTAACGTCGCGTCGTCGATCCTAAAATACCGATGATTTACGGCGAAAACAGTCGCCGAAATTGTGCTGAAGTTTTTAGTACTGTGTGGAAGAACGAGCGAAATTTATTGCTACATTAATATTAAAACTAATCCGGCTTGATATTACACCATCAAATTGAAATGTCTATAAAGTTGGTGCTAACATCAACTTAGCGTTTAAGTGCAATTTGATTTCAAATGAACTGTTAAGGTTTATAAGTACTATGAATAATCGTTTCAAGTTTCGTTGAGTGCTGTCGCTCCTATAGAATCAGGCGTTACTTGCGGGAAATCCATGACATTAAATGTTATGAAAAATATCTAGTTTTAATTTCCACGACAGAAATCCAGGCTTGTTGCAGGATACATTCCCACCCTACCTACCTGCAATCAACACACCAAACGAATCGAGACATAGCACGAAAAGCCTTAGAGTTTTATTCTGTAATTCTTTGAAAAATAAAACGTCTGTTTTGGTCTTTAGTTTGTAAATGTAGTAGTAGTAAATTAAAAATATGAACACTATGATATCAAAGGGTTTCGGTTCTTGGTACAATTTAGAAAGGATGGTTGTCAGTGAGTGATTTCAAAGTTCCAGTCTTTATGATTTTCACGTCACTGTTCCAGGAAATATTACCATTTCGATTCGAAATTCAATTCGATGTTGCTTGGTTTCCAATTAAATACGGAAAGGGATGCGGTTGGTACAAATTTAAATATTCGTTTGTTAAATAATCATGAACGCAATAATAATGATGTTTCGATTTCAATTCTTCGGAAGGTTAAAATAAAGCTATTTCTAACGCGTTAGGCAAACAGGGGCCCGAGTCTACTACTTTAAAAGTGTTGTCATTCCTACACGATTCCATTGTCATTTTGTTAAAAGTTCGTAATCTGTTAATTCCAAATGGCTGATCATTGGCGTTCGGCGATGTCGTAATAGAATTATAGTACGAGATGTCTTGTAACGAATTATAAACAATATCTGCACATTAATATTCTAAACATAAATCATTGAATAAAGGAACTGACATTTTTTTATTAATTTACCGCATTATGTCAAATATTCATTTGTTATTATGTACGAGATTACCGTTCTAAAGATTTATTTCAATGAAGTGGCATTGGAAAGTCATAATGACGCTATCGTGTTAGTAGATTACCTTACTTGTCAAAATCAACAATTTTGAAACCAATGATCTACTATTCTGACACTATTGTAATAGCAGACTCGAGGCCCAGATAACCCGATGGTAAGCACTCTTCGCCGCCAATCAGCACCAGTAACATTGCGAGGAGTAATGAGTGTGTTGTTATCCTTATAGGGTAAAGGATTTGAGGGTTAGGAATGGAGGGAGGATGGATTGGCTGTCATTATTTTCATTAATTCTTAATCTAAATTAAGGAGTCAGGCAAATTTTGGAATTGTGCCGAGTGTGAGAAAATACTCTCAATATCCGAAAATAAAATTCTTCATCAGTTTTTCAAATTTAAATACCTACTTAAAGAAGTGCGTCAACATTTTTGAAATATCTTTATAAAATATGTTCATAAACACTTTCAGACAACAATATGAGAGCTATTCTCGAAGACATATTTTGTGTTCCGCTTGCCTCTGTGGGGATTAAATACTGTGATGTTATGTTGAATTAGGGATCGAACGTTGTTAGACAATTTATTATTGCTCACGTAGATACACGTTGTGATAACAGATGAATGATCAAACACAACATTGTTCTGACCTCAAGCGATTTAAAACCGTGTTTGCGTTAAACACTCACGAATAAATTAAAATTTTCGCTTGCTTTCATTTTAGTAGAGCTTGTCAAAAGTACACTGTTCATTGTTGCCTTTGAATATATTGTCGCTGGTTGGCTAGAATTAAGTATTTCTAGAGTGTTATACGTCCATCCGAGACTAATGAAATACCGGGTTATTATAGTTATATTTTTTTATGGTATAAGTCGGCAAAAGAGGAGACGGATTACCTGATGGTAAGCAATCAGCGCCGTCCATGGACACCCGCAACACCAAAAGAGTTATGAGTGTGTTGCCGGCCTTTTGGGGATAGGGGTTGCGGATGTAAGGATCGGGAAGGGATAGGGGAAGGGACGGGATTGGGCTTCCGATTTTCTGTGAGGCCGTGGTATCACTCCGGTCGAGCCGACCCATTCGTGCCGAGGTTGACTCTCCCACACTTTATATGCTTTAATGCATCGTCTTTAAGAATACGCGCACTGTTTACGAAGATGTTTAATTTCACAAAACTATAAAAATTGATAAAGGTTCCAATGCCACACACCAGATTCGATACCCAATTTTAAAATAAAAAAAATATCACGCTTTATTTATTGATTGAAAGAACATCTTGATCGCAAAGTGATTTTTTTATCAATAAAATTATATGCGGTAATTTTATAAATCATCTAACTAGTTAATAATCTCTCAAAAGCTGGTAATATTCATTACAAATTTAGTTACAAGACGTTGCCAGACTTAATTGTTTACGATACAAACTTAATAACAAGACTTAGGTACCGATCGTTTAAAATTATCTTTGTTTGAGTAACGTCGACAGCCTAAATCGTTTTAACGTGAAAATTCGTAAGCAACAGTAGCTAGAACCATTAAAATGTACATCCCATGACTTGCTATAGAAGATAAGTTATAGAAAAAAAAGATTGGGTTCAAAGAAATAGGAATTAATATTAATAGAAAGGACAAGTTGTAGAAAAAATGAAAAAGGAAAGGGCTCAGGAAAGAAAATTTTGAGGAATGTTAAACATAGCTACCTAAAATAGTAATTAAATAGAAAAAAATACAATCAAAGAAAAAAAGGATATAAACATAAGTGACGTGACAATAATTCTGGATCACTTGCCTGGCCAGTTATACAAGCTTTTTTCAGTAGTTTCCTAGTCGAAAAAGATTTTTATTTCTTTTTTGACTAGGAAAATTTTATTCCAAAGAAATGTTATAATATTGTGAAGAAAATATTTGTGTATTAATTTTATAAATTTGAAAACCTTAGTGATTGAGACACAAACATCTTAGTAGAAGTTCTCTTTTTGTAAAAGTAAGCAGGGATACACCGCTTCCCAAACTTACAAAATATTCAAAAAGTCCTATCAAATCTAACTAAAATTAATTCATTATCCAACAAACGAAATAAATCTAGGTTTTCTTTTAAACCTTTTTTCTTTTAAACTTATACTTATTGTGGATATCGATACTAAATAAGATGCTTTTTTTATAACAGGCGTAACAATACTTTTGGTGGTGATCTGCGTGCAAGAGATATCCAAAGAGGTCGTGACCATGGCTTGGCATCCTATATAACTAGCAGAGCTGCGTGTGGCCTTCCTGTTCCCAAGACTTTCACTGATATGTTGGACTTCATATCTCATGAGGTATGTATAGCTAATGTACTTATCATATTCATCATCCTCAGGCTCTAGCGACGGAGACGAGGAAGAAGTTCTTTTAATCTTGGTCGTGGTGGATTGGAGTTTCGAAACTTTAAATTTGAATTAATTTATCCATGTTTCTTTACGATATTTTTCGGTGAGTAGGTACGAGTATACTTAAGTGGATTTATTAGTTATTATTTATACAACCAGATATCCATAATAGCTAGGTATATGTTTTAATAGCTAGATGTCTTTTTTATACCTTCTGCTGTATCGATGAAACACAGAGTGCACAATATTTCATGCTGAAAGACTACCCGATAAGATTCATATAAATCGGTTAGAAGCTTTAATACCTATCTTAATCTTAGATGAAAATGTTATAATTATTATGATATACTCGTACCAAACAAGCCCTCATGTTAAACACAAATAAAAAGTTATGAAGTTTTGTAAAACACGTAAAATATTTAGGTAATTATTCCATTTTATTGCGAGTACAAAATTGTTCAAAACATGTGGAACGAAACATGTATAAAAGTACGTGATTCCAGACGGTCCCAAAAACTTTTATCAACTTTTATTAAAGTGGGTCCTAGGTTCTCATATCTAGACAAATAAAAAGTAACTAAACACAATAAATTATGAATTATACGAACAGTTTGTGAAATCTTTTGAATAAGTATAAAGATTGTAAGGACTTTAATTTTGTAATCTGGTATCTATTCCTTTATTATATTATATCTTTATTTTCTTTATAATAGTTTCAGAGATTAGCACGTTCAAATAAAAAATCTCTTCAACATTTATATTTTTTAAGTAATTACTATATCCGGTATTTTAATTTTGATTAACTTTTTTTTTTCTGAGGGGAAAATCATCAAAAAATTATATCTTCCGCCCGGGGCCGGGCGGGAGGGAGTGTCAGGCTCTTACTGAATAAAAACCCCCCTGTTCCTTCTCCTGCTCTGTGATTAACTTGTGTACGGCGTCCTTTTTAACTACGAGCTACAAAATAATATATTAGACATCCTGTTAATAATTTCAGAATAAAATAAACAGGCCAACAATACTTTACCAGATTTGTTAGTGAAAGCTAATTCAATGTTTCAAGCACTAGTCTTAAATCAGTCTGAATACAACCTTACACATTTTGCCTACTTGTGGAAAAGTGTTCGTTAAAGATGTCTGGTACTTTTCAGGGCTCCGTAAGTAAGGTTAAAACGGGAACCTTATTGCTAAGACTCTGTTGTCCATTCGTCTATCTGTTTGTATTGTATTTCTACTGAATGTATTTCTTGAACCGTGATACCTGAGCAGATGATATAACGTTGTCGTTAGTTGAATAGTAAAAACTAATAAAAAAATGTTAAGGTATTCATGCATAACAAATGAATGAGATTTTAACATGGAACCAGTCCGTGTTCTCGATTCAAACTTGCCTAGCTTTTTATTTGCATTGTTTCGTAAATAGGAATGAAAACGAGAAAATTATTTAGTTACTAGCTATTTTTGAGAGCACTTAATACTTAATTGTTGAAACAAATGCTCCAGGGGGATTGCGATTTATTCATTTGTCTTTATAGGTTACCGAGAGATATTTTATTACTACATAAATGTAATTACATAACTCCAAGTGTAGTTATTATGTTTTTTACTGTTCGAGTACCAAAAAAAGATTACAGCTTTTTTATATTTAGGTAAAAATAATGTTGTTTGAATTTAGTCAACAGTTTATCACACGTTGAACCCAAACTAATAAATTATTTTATACCCGATGAACATGGTTTGGTCTAGTTATATATAAGTACAATATCGGTGACCGTTTGCATTAGTGATGGGTGACATACTATGTTTAGACTTTTTTGCTGGTTATGTGCGACAATCCGACGTGACATCACATAAACAGACGTGACGAATTAATAAAGGTTGGTCTATGTAAGCTTACTTTGACATCTTACTAATATATTAAAAGTACGGATGTTTTTCACTTTTTCAGGTAAAAACCAATAAATGGATTAGAATTCCAAATTGGCATATGGATAGATTATAGTCTAGAACACGATTAAAAAATAAACTACATACATTTTACACCGGTAAATCGGACAAAGCCGATGGCGGAAGCTAGTTACAAATTACCTAGTAGCTTTTATGAACCTTTGAAATTGAACAATCCAAAATTTTTGGCCATTTTCGTTTTATTCTGTGAAAGGTTTGCGATTTTAGTTGTTGGAACTACCTGATCTATCATAAGCCTATCGCCCGCCGGCGTCACCAAGATAAACGTCGTAAACTCGTTAAGTGTTATCTTCTATTATAAATCCAGTTTACTGAGGCTGATAACAATTAAGGCCAGACTTGATGGGTTTGACGGAAACCTATTAAGTAGAAATGTTTGATAGTAACCGCTCGTCAGTACTTTGATCATGTTGTTAAGATCTTTAGAGGAGAAAACGGATATAATTATTGAAAACCCCTTTTGAAATGCGTTTGTTTTCGGTATTTAGTATTAGTTTTTGATTACGTCATTGATGAAAAACATGCTTGATGTAATGCCAAAAGCAGTCACACACACATGTCGAAGTGAACGCGTGGAAGGTGGCATACCATGTATTTTCCTAGGTTGGTGCCTGAATATAACCTAATACTAAACGTTACTTAGATAAAAAACGCTTATAAATTTCGTAAGACGTTTTTGGCTTTAATTAACTATAAACATTTCTATTCATGATACTGGCTGAAATTTTGTCAGAAGTTACTCCTAATGAATATGTAATAACTTAAATATTAATTACTGTTACTAGGTAGTTGTAGTAAAATGGTTCATTGTGTGTGTAAGCACCATTTTAGCTCGTAAATAGTGTGCCTCATAAGTAGTGAATTTTACAACCGATATTAAATTGTGTTATTGTTTGTAGCAACTTGTAGCAACTTGTAGCTTACTAATTCTAGTAACTACATAGATATATTATACTCGTAAATAATACAAGTATATAGGTAGGTATATTAGTTCTTAGAATGAGAAACAATAACAGCTTTATATGACGTATCCCAAAATAGAAGAAAGTTGTAATAATCTATAGCAATGTTTTAAAGCCGAATAGTTTATTTGGACGTTCTAATCTCGGGAACTACTGATTCGAAATGAAGAATTCTTTTTATTTTGGATAGTTCGTTTATCAACAGAGGCTATAAAATATCACACTACTATCAATAGGAGCCGAGCAGCGGGTGACATTGCGACATACAGCTGGAGTAGCTGTTATTGTTTCAAACTATATATTATATAACTGTGTTACAAATGTGACTGCGAGTACTGGACTAGGACTTTGGGTCCCTGGTTGGAAAAGTCAATACAGTTTCTAGGTACCATAAATTATACGGCTTGAGTAATGAAATTAGGCCTCGGATATCCATATAAATCATCATTGGTCCATAAATAAAAAAAACTAGGTTACAAATACACAAAAACTCCTTATATTTTCCTCTTTTGAAAAAAAGAACGACAAAACTGTCACCTACTTTTAGAAAACTTACATTAAGCATTTTCCTGTTTTTTTAGAACGTGGCTGCCCTCCAAAACTTGTACGCGACACCTGAAGACGTAGAACTGGTGGTAGCTGGTTCTTTGGAGCGCAACGTGCCAGGAGCTCAAGCTGGTCCAACCTTCCTCTGCATCATGACGGAACAGTTCTACAGAACACGTGTGGGAGACAGATACTTCTATGAAAATGGCGCTGATCCTGACATTGCTTTTACGCCAAGTAAGTTATTATAACTTATGTTAATCACTATAGTCACTCCACTGTTTTGTTTGCTACTGCAAATAAAAACCTAGTTTGGATCAGATTGCATTTAATGATGTTGTTAATACTTTTATCACAATTAATTTAACTTGCAGACACTTTTTCATCTTTTGTGCAGGAAGTTATTCAGGGGAAGGGCAGCTTGAATCTAAAACATTTCACTATTAGTATTACTTAGAATATTTAGTAGCTTGATTTAAATAATTCGATGAAAATCATCAATGATCATCTTCTTCTTCCTGGGTAGTTCGAGAGTGAGTGTGACTCTTAGGGACCCAAAACGATTTTTCTTTTGTGCTGTTAACCGGGCCGCTGTACATTATAAGATTCGCACCCGCAAAGAAGAATTTGACTAAGACTCAGTGATGATCTAGGTTCTAAAAAGCTTATCCTTTATCTTGATTCACATTAATCTAAATCTTTTAGTTATCTTCAAATTTTCGCAAACGTAAAAAATATGTACGCAAAATAAATATTTCTTAGCTTAGGAAACATGATAGCCATGTTAATTAAGGTATATTATATATTTTCCCATTTAGAGTATTCATTTTCGCTTTCACTTTATTTTACATTATACTTTAGGATATACGATATTAACTCTTATATAAATTATTACTAGGAAAGATTACCTATTTACTGATCTCTCATAAAGCATTTTTGTTTTCTATTTGTTCGAATAAATCAAGGAATTATGTTCGTTGCTTAAATATTATCAGCCTAAAAGTGACTTTTGACAACAGTACGAGATATAATTTGTATCTGGAAAGAGGTCGAATCAACATTTTAGGGACAATGCTAGCCAGAATTTATTTCTCTCTTACATTTTTCTTATAACAGTTTCACAGTTTTTCTTCGATTATACGATACTTGATGGATACTGCCTGTCAGATATGTGTTGTTGACATGTTGTGTGTCTTAGCAAACAATGGTTTCATCACCATATTACTGAAATGATTAAACATTATAATACATATATTTCTTTATTTCACACTGACACAATTAATTTGTATTTCGGTTTATTTTACGAGTGCACCACATATTGAACCGAATTGAAACTTTGTCAACTAACACATAAGAGATATATTGAAATTGGCCCCTTTTTACATACCGCAATGTAAATAAAACTGCTGAAATACTATTAAAAGTAATTTAAGAAGTGTCGATACGTAAGAGTCGTCCAAATGTTTACGATCATTCCATATGACAGTTTCTTCAGCCACGAAGCCCGAATGTACGCCTCGCACATAAAGGCTGAACTGTAAATAAAAGTATTTTTATTGAAACTAACTTCTTGGGGGCAGTGACAGTTTCGTCCGTGGATGTTGAGAAATCATTGAACAAAACAAAAACTTTTGAGCCGTTAAGAATTGGATATTTCCAGATGAAAAAATAAAGAAATGACCTGGTCCATGCCTTCATTAGATTTGATCCATATTTCCAGTGATATCTTGTATAAAACAGAATATGCCTTGTTTACATCTAATCATAATATCTTATTTGCTAGGTCTAGTGAATGATATCTACATACATTTTACAGTCGATCTAGTAGGTTCCATATCTCTATACTAAAATTATCAATCAAAAGACTTCCTCATCGTATTTTTCACCAAAGCGCCCATTAACTAAAGGATAAATGCAATTACTCACCAGATCGTGGCCACGTGCTCGTATGGCGTTGCTATCAAAACAAGTCTCCCTACATATGGCCTTATTTAATTATTTTCCTCAACAAATCTTGTTAAATGTAGGTATGTATGTCATGTGCATTAGAGAACAAATGGCACGTCACGTAAAATAGGCGGAATATATGGCTAACCATTTCTTGATTGTGTCATACAGGAAAAATCATAGGAATTCATGTTGACATTCGCAAAGATGGCATGTGTTTGGCTAAAGATATGACGATTTGGATTTGTTTATTACTTTAAAGGTACACTTGATACTCCTATATATATCTTATAGGCAAACAATTGTTGAAAAGATTAGCTGACATCATTTCTAGTAATAATTTTGTTACAAAAAGTGTTTTAACAATAAAAAGGGTCAAACTGATTACAGGACTTTCTCGGCACGAGCATCTAACAAAGCTCTCTTGATACTGTGATGAATGACGGGAAACTATTTTGTTCTGTTGATAAACATATTTTTTTATTAAACAGGCCAGCTCGACACGATACGCAAGGGGGCATCCATGGCGCGATTGCTATGTGATAACAGTGACGGAATACAGGCTATGCAGCCCAGAGCCTTCCAACAGATATCGCACACGTAAGTATCGCTATTACTTACACTCCCGACTTTTACGACTATGACGCAGAAGAATTCAGTAGTTTGATAAGGTTCTTGCGGCAAGCAGAAAACATTGGCTTGAAAATGTCATTTTACCATTTCACATTGATTCTATTTCACATTGATACTTTTGGTAATAAACTTTGTGTAAAAATTTTGAGAATGACCACTATAATATTCTTCTAATCTAATGAATAGCCATGAGATGATAGTGCACGTAGTATTACTACAAAAAAATTTACGTTGCACTTTTTATATGAAAAGTAAAATAAATAAAAAATACAACACAATAGTAATAAATAGTGTCATAAGACTAGTAATCAATTTTTTACTCAGCGGTATATTTGTACTGTGGCTTCTTTATGTAGGTACCTACTTAAACTCATAGATAATATTAAAGAACATGTTGCCATTAATTTCCATTCGGAAAGTTAAGATTTACTGTGAAGGTCGCAATGAACAAACTAAATCCATAATTTCTTATTTTTACAGGAATGTGCTGGTACCCTGTCAATCATTACCAGCTATTGATCTAACTCTATGGCAAGACGCAAGAAGCCATTTTTAATATGTAAGAAATAGCATTAAATAAGAATTAAAAAACAAATTAAAATGTCACCTAAAACTAACAAAGTTTAATTTGTTAAGAACTTTCGCAAACCGAAACTTCTAGAATAACAATCGTACAATACTATTATTATACTTCAATGGAATAATAGGTTGCAAAAGTTAGTGACGTGATGTTTTAAGTAAAAAATACTTAGCACCTAGAAACCCTATGCTTGTTCAATACTTAGTTGTTATCCACACCGCTTAGCCGTTTCTTTTAAATAAGTGTATTACTACTACTAAGCTCTTTTTCAATTTTATTTTCAATGTATACATTTATTTTGATAACCCTTTATTTTATTTATTTGTACAGATTATGACACTAAGATGTAAAATAATGTGTGAACAAAGCCATTTTTTAATTGTTTGTGCTATTTTAGAATACGTAGGAACATGTTTTGACAATACTGAATCAAATGGATAATAATTATTATATTTTTCACATTCAAGATACGAATGGAAAGTAAGAAAGTTGTGTGTTTGTGAAGCAGAATTAATAAAGAATTATTTTTATGTATTCAAAAGCGTTTTATTTTACCAGGAAATTTACGAAAATATTTTTATATAGAACCCTTCCCCGGGTTCAAGTTTTGTGATTTGAATATAAATATCAAACGAAACGCAAAGGATCAAACGGATAAATATATTTACAATTTATCATTTAAAATATTCTACCTCTTTTACTAAAGGTATGCTGAGTAAAGGTTATTCGTCACTGCAGTTATTTTCATTTTAAAAAGGGGTGACAAGGATTTTTTTTCAAAAACTTATGAAACTGGACAGAATATTTTAGTGGTATCAGCATTTTTTATAAATTCACACGTTGTTGTCTCTAAACGACGCTTTTCGATTTTGGACTATCAACTGCAGTCTCTTGGTATATAAGCAAGTATCAGCAGTATTTTTTGCTACTACTTTAGCTTCAACGGCTCAGAGCAGCGATTTTAATAATGCAGTATGCTGGTAGCCGTTATCTGGTATGTTGTTGCTTACTTTGGTGTCGCCCAGGGGTCTACAGTGGGTCCACTTCGGCTTGTACTGATTTTCAATAACACAGAGTAGCTTTCCAAGCTTTAGACTTTCTTGGTTTACATGGATATTATAAAAAAAAAAAAAATAATCAAAAAATATTTATTATTTTCAGTAGTAACAACAGCATTGTTGACCAGTTATTTTTATTGTGTGCAAACGCGACGTTTTTTTAATCTCAATTAAAAATAAACTCTCCCTTATATACCTATATATCAAATATGTTACATCTTTTATTGAAATACGAAAATCTTTATTTCATACTAATGACACTCCGCTCAGGGTGGGGCGAGAGAAAGGGTAAGTGTGTTTATTATGGAGTTTGAATCCGAAACCCTCAAACATCGTCAATGTTGTGCTCAGCCCAAGAAGGGTACACAGCGGTCGTGTGCTTCTCTATATGTTCCGGGAAGACCACGACTGTCGACATTGACCAGGGCGTTTCCTTTCTCTGGATTCGCAACAGACACCTCCTATAACTTCGGTGTCCGGTAAGTATAGGGTTAAGGGGACGGTGAGAATGCCATAGCAATTTATAGCTAATCCTTATCCCGTTACACATTAATGAGGTGAGGCAGTGGAGTTTTGCCCCTTATCGTTACTCATAGATGGTGTTTGCGTAGCAAATGGAAGTTATGCCATAGTCATAATAAATTCAAACTCAAAAAAATCAGAAAAGGTGGTCCTAAATAATCTTGAGGTAGAGTAGTGTCCAGTCACGACATCATAATAGCTTAATGTCATTGAAGACACGGCATAATTTAGGGCTGTCGCTTACATCGCCTTGTGGAGAGGAGTGGGAGTGTCGTGACATTTACTATGTCGCATCTCAAATTAATGTAAGACCTGCTAGTTGCTATCTATCTATGTTTCATCGGCCTTCATAGCCGAAATAAAATAAATCCGTTTTTGTGGATTACAATAACAAACAATATTAAGAAAAATCAAGATTAGAATGTTAAAATACAGTTTTAACATTCGAACCTTTTTTATACCTGATGGTAAGCAATCGGAGCCGTTTCTGATATTTAAGGATTAGAAAGGGATGAGAGGGAGAGAATGTAACCGGTAACCTCATTCACACTGCGAAACACAACGCTGTGGCTGTTTCACACCATTGTTTTGTGAGGTCGTGGTATCACTCCGGTCGAACGGATCTATTTGTGCCAAAGCTTGGCTCTCCCATACTTAAACGATGATGTTTATATTAGCTGGACAGTAGGTAAGATATTTTTTCCCTATATGAAAAGAGGCCTTTTCTCAGAAGTGAGATATTGACAGACTGACGATGCCGATGATGATGATGGTACCCATTTTATGGTAGAAATATATATTAGGTTTACAAGTTCTCCAACATTACTGGTTCTAAACTAATAGTAGGTATTCAATTTTCTAGTGTAGATAAAGCTCTCATTATCTAAACATTTAATCGTCCTCTATTAGCGCTACAATCTATGGCAGAGGGGGGACACTGCCCTACATTCACCAAGATCGGAAAGATAGAGGTGCCATCTTATATTTGTAACTAAGAAACACTCAATGTCTTGTTAAGTGACTACATATCACAATAGATGTCACTGTCCTGGTGTTGCAGATCTAAAAAACTGCTTCAAAAATGGGTATAAATAACCAGTCATGTGAATTTAAATAACGCTTATAAATATATTTAAAGTGTTTCAAATAACTAATAACTTATATTTATAGTTTAATAAGTGGCGGTTACTATAAAATTTTTTGGATGACAGTCGTTTAATCATTCTAACGCATTAGGGCATTTATTACAAGAGAGCATGGCAACACAAGTCTTTTAAATTTTCATGTTGACAGATCACACGATGTTTGTTATTTTGAATAAGTTTTGTCTGTTTTTTTAATTCCGGAGCCCTTCCTGGCAATTAAACTCTATCTATACAACTGTAAAATAATTTGACTGTATGGGTTTAAGGAATTAAAAACACGCTAAATCAAAATCTATGTATAAATATGGTGATATCTACATATACTATAGGTAGGTATGAATATAGCATGCATTCGTTTCTGGTTACAAAATCCAGAGGGCGCTTCAAATTTGTATGCCAAAAAAATACGCTAGAGGGCTCTCTTCTACTCCTTTATTACTTTACTCTTTGATCTATGGAGATTCGATAAATGAGACCAAAGAGATTTTAATTTGGCATTTCGTTTTTGTTATTCTACCGTGTTTACATTCAAAATTAAGATTGCTGTTTAGAATGTTCTGTAAAAATATGTAGTATAAAAATATGAGTAACAAAGACTAATAAAATTTGATTTGGGTAAATTTATATGAAACTTGTTTAATCACTTTTATTAGGAGGCTACATAAAATATACGGCGAGTTTTTAAGACGTAAGTAATTGTTTTTTTAGTATTGATGGGCGACATTTTTGGATATCGAAATGACATAAATATCAACCACCAAAACGTGGATATCAACCCCTTCATAGTTGATATCCAGTCCACACACACAAAGTCAAATGCCTTCAGTTTTTTAATCAGAACCTCTAAGGGTTTCCCAATGCTTTGAAATACCCTTCGGGAATCATAATCAATATTTCATTATTTCTTCAAGCCCCGAGTGAAAATATTGTTTATGGGAAAGTATACACTATCGTAGGTCACATCATCGTCTATCACCAGGAGAGATATAACAAGTGAAAAAAAGTGCGGACATATTTGTAACAAATTCGTCATAAATGTATAAATATTACTGAGATTACTAATGCTGACCACATAAACTTCTGTAGTTCATACGCTCAATTAAACGTCATTTCGACTGTATAATTGTGTTAATTCCCTTGAGGTATACGTTTATAGCTTAACTATTTAAGCTATTAAAACAGAATACATTGTTGATTTTCACTGCAGAAAACTAAAATAAAGAAAAGTGTAATGATGTTTTATTTTCAATTTACATAAAGTATAAACACAGCGTAATATTATGTATATATATTGCTACGCTTCGGTAAAAAACAATTTATGTGCCTTTTTTTGAAGGAAATAGCATCAAATGCCTCCTCTCGCCCAGGATGAGGCGAGAGAAAATATCAGACTGACTTAAACCCCCCCGTTTATTCTCCTGCTCTATGCCGAGGTAACTTAAACTTAAGTACCTAGACATAAATTATATTAAAGAATATCTCTAGGCCAAATTTAGTTCTGAACCGTTCAGCAGTTTTTAGGATACCTATAGAGTAAAAAATATCTATCCGCTTAGCCATCTATACTTTCAAACTTTCGCGTTTTTAACGATATACGTATAGAATATAAGAATATGAAAAGGAAAGAAATGTAACATTTTTTTTAACGTCAGTTAAATCAACCTGTTAACCATATATTATATTTATATAACTTATTACATTTAATTACGTATTTTTCAAGTTACTATAGGGTTATAAAAATGACTGCTAAAAATGATATTTGTTATAATATAATCTGTACACAACATAAATATTTTCTGTTAATTGATTAGTTATAAAGAATTATTCATAAAGAAGCTGTAGGTACTCTATTTCATATTGTGAAATTTTACTAAAAGCTTTTTATTCAAAATATTCACAATTTTAATACACAATGCTCTTATCCATCCCATCTTGTATGCACGAGATAATAGCGTGCAGTGTTCCAACAAGTTTATCATCGACAAAGTTTAAAGTATTTCACACCTTGTTTTCATCGCAAACAAGTTTAAAATTGATTAGCACTTTAACTCGCTTTTAAGTTACACAGAGGTTTCAAACTAGTTAGAGAAGATTCTACTGTTTAAAGTATTCAACTTGTTCTAGAATATATACTGACATTGTGAGACATGATAATGTACAGAGACAAGAAATTGATGATGAAAGTATTATAACAATATTTAGTATTATTAAATTTATGTAGAGTGTAGTTCTCGATAAAATTATGTGGCATTAAATTCATAAAAACGTTCGATGCATATCTCTATGTGTTACGTGGGATATGTTGGTGTAAGTAATTTTTTATAAGTATAATATTGGTGTAACGTTAAGAAATAAATACCTACTTTTATTTTATACTACGACCACAGACCAGCTCCACGTAAGACAAGAAAATTGGACCAGTTGTTTAAAAACTGTCATTCATAATGCAAAACGCAAAATTTTGTTGTTTACAAGTAATCCTGCGCTAATACCTCCATAATATGCTTCTACCTACTTATAACTATTTTCATAAAGCACTTTTTTATATAATAGGTCGGCAAACGAGCAGACGGATTACCTGATGGTAAGCAATCAGCGCCGCTCATGGACACCCGCAACGGAGGAGTTAGGGACATTTTAGGGATTAGGGATTTGGAGATTTAGGGACCGGGGGCGGGGAAGTATTGGGCCTCCGGTAACCTCACTCACACGGCGAAACACGACGCTGTGGT